CATACATTTTATTTCAAGTTTCTCTCTGAATAAAACAACATTTGGAATGAGCAGCTCTGCATCATCTGATGTACCACTGGCTTCCCTACTAGGACACTACAGCCAGCATCACAAGAATAGCTGGCAAAAACCAGCAGAGCCAAGCCTAACAATTGTCCTTCAAGACTTACAGCAAAAGGTCAGTATCATAGTTCACAAACATCTTAAAGAAGAAAACAGCCCGGATCAATGATCCCTAGAGTATTTCTGGAGCACAGAGTTCCTTTGGGCTCCCTTCCATTATATCTGCCTACTCCATCTCAAGTAGCCCTTGATACAGTATCTTCAGCCTTCCTATAATGTGCCAGGCAAACTTTAAGAAAAAAAAAAAAAAAAAGGGAAGAGGAAAAAAAGAAAAGGAAAAAAATCTGCTACCACCTCTTCAGGTGGAGGCTGTCTTTCCCAGCTCTGGTTTTGCCCATAAAAACTAAGAGCTCACCAAGCCAAAGCCCGAGTGTTTTAAGTGGTATGATTTTGGTTTTAGCAGTTGCAGAATACCTTGGAAAGCAAGACAAGTTCATCACACAAACATATGTGAGACACAGGTGACAGAAGGGCCAGCCTATGGCTCTCATAGCTTTCAGGTCACAGAAAAGAGTCTTCCGAAAGCTCTATAAAGCAAATTCTTTTAAATAGAACAACATGCATTGACAGGGCAGATCAATATATTACCTTAAGGTTACATTAGCATTCTGTAAACTTGGACATACATTAAGAAATTGGGAGTTTATCAGTCATAAAGAGAATACAAACAGTTTCATAACATGTAGGCAAAACCCTGACATTTTCAATCAGCAGCTCTATAAGAACAGATTTAACATTTTAATACTAAGTCTTGAAGTATTAGATTTAAAAAAAATAATAAAAATGGAAGTTTCAGGGCAGAACTAAGAAAAACCTTCAAGCATTTTTTTATCTGCAGCCGGCTATTTAGCACTTTTTTCTTTTATACTTTTGAAGTGCCAAATCAGCACAAAGTGAAAATGAAACTCATGGTTAAGTGGAAGCAACAGGGCTTGCAGTTGCCTCCTTGGTGTTTATAAAGCGGTGGCCAGAATCCATTAACCAAGCTCTTCGTTTCTGTAAAAAGATCAGAAGAAAGTCTACAAAGCTTCTCCTCTTAGACTGTGTAGTACTGCCACTCAGCACATTGTGTGTGCTTGTTCCTGTGGAAATACTAGCTCATCTAACCCATAAATGCAACTGATTTATTGGATTACACGGGAGAGTCTTTTCAGGACTAAAATTAAAAGAAAAGTAAGTGAAAATTAGATTGGAGGAGAAGAAGAAAAAGAATCGCATCATTGCCTACCCCGACAGTGCATGAGTATACAAAGAAAAGCATCTAAGAGAAGGTGTTAACAGAAATTCTGAACAGAGGATAAACAGCTGTATACCAATATAGAAAAAGCAGTTACCATCAAGGGCTGAAAAAGGGACTACAAAATCAGCACAGTAAATACATCAAATCGTATCATATGTGAGAAGTGTCCTGGTTTCGGCTGGGATAGAGTTAATTTTCTTCCTAGTAGCTGGTACAGCGCTGTGTTTTGGATTTAGGGTGAGAACAATGTTGATAACACACCGATGTTTTAGTTGTTGCTGAGCAGTGCTTACACTAGTCAAGGACTTTTCAGCTCCCCATGCTCCGCCGACTGAGAAGGCTGGAGGGGCACAAGAAGCTGGAGGGGGCACAGCCAGGATGGCTGACCCCAACTGGCCAGAGGGACATTCCATACCATGGGACGTCATGCTCAGTACATAAACTGGGGAAAGCTGGCTGGGGGGGGCCGCTGCTCGGGGACTGGCTGGGCATTGGTCGGCTGGTGGTGAGCAATTGCATCGTGCATCACTTGCTTTGTATATTCTTCTTCTTCTTCTTCTTACTATTATTATTATTTTATTTTATTTCAATTATTAAACTGTTTTTATCTCAACCCACAAGTTTTCTCACTTCTACTCTTCCAATTCTCTCCCCCATCCCACCGGGGGGGGGGAAGAGTGAGCGAGTGGCTGTGTGCTACTCAGTTGCCGACTGAGGTTAAACCATGACAAGAAGATACGGCATTTGAGAGATTATATGCATTTACAACTCAGCATACAGGTATTTTAGTTTTCCAAAGTAAAAAGCCACAAGCTTGCAAAAACATTACATTTGCTATTGAGAACAGCAATTAGGAAGTTTTGAATTACTAGGAACCAAGTTGATAAAAAAGAGAGTTCCTAGCTGTACACAGGAAAGCTTGCTCAGTAACCTACAGCTTCTTATCTTACCCCCCCACACTGACTTGGTACTTGTCCAGATGAAGTTTTAATACAGCATTTCTCAAAGCACTCCTGAATTAAGCCACATGTTTTCATAAGATGCATCCAATGACTCATTAAGGCATCCATTAATTTACAGAGGTGAAAATACAAGATGATTGCCAGGATATAAAGTGTTCCTGAGACACCTCCAAAATGCCTTTGGAAATAATTATTACAGATCACCATGGAACACAAGGTTCCTGCTTTAACATCTGAGGAGTGAAACCGTCCATTACATATAAAAAGGCAGGATGCAACTGTTTAAGTTTACATATTACAAGATTAGAACCTCCTTCATTTCTTTTACCCGGTATTTTGAAAAATTTAGCTCAATGGGCTAGGTTTTACTGAAGAGCTCTGAAGAAAAAAATAATTGTAGTGATTACCATTTTTAATATGATATGGTCTAGTAATGAAACGTAATTGTGATATCCATGAACAAGAGTTTAACTGGATTCTAGCTACCATTAACAAGTCAAAATTCAAGTAGAAAGCACTGTTCCTCATGTATAATTTGATCACTCAAAACATGAGCTGGTTTACCTAAGCCTTTATATCTGTAAATGAGACTATTAAATTTAAGCAGTACCGGAAAAGAACACAGCTCCTGGGGACTAGTCCACTGATTGGTCTTGTACAGTCTCGAGTATTGCAGCTTCCTCATACCCTTCATCAGACAGTTTTGGTTTCGTTCCCATCCCTAACATATGGTCACTGACATACTATTGCCATTTCTCCACTGACAAATGCGTTTTTAAATAAATTAATCATATTCTTCCCGTTCACAACATTGGCCCCATTTAGTTACTTGACACCGTAATCTCCCCAGATCAAGAATACGTTTTTCTTACGTTTTGAAACTTCTACACAACATTTATAATAAAAGTTTAAATGCTTCTTACTGGAATCAAGATGACCCCGATTTAACGTTTCATTTGGAAACTAGCACGAACTATTCTCAGTGCTGCACTGGCTTGAACTACTACGGTTGGGTGTAAACCAAGTTTCTAAAACGAGACGGTATTCTGCTCCCTGTATTTAATATTAAAGCACTGCTGAAGTACAACATTAGAGATTGTTGCACTACTGCAGAAATCTCTTCTAGGTAAGCCCGAGGTCACAGCCACAGAGCCCACCCATCTCTTCCACAAATCAGCAGGAGTATCTGAAATTCCTGTGCTTGCAGCCGTATTTCCTCAAAATTTCACTTACATTTCTAGTTTGTCCTTGAATGTTCAGTAGTGCTGTGGGTATGCAAGCAACCAAATTTCTCTTCAAAAGTAAAACAACTGATATTTGTACAGTTTGCAGTTTTCGCTGGCATGAAAAAGTAGAGAGTAATAAACATTTCCAGCCATTATCACAGTCAAACTAGTCTAACATTTAGAGATACACTTTTAATGCTGCTTGACTTGGAAGCAAAGTGTTTTCACCTAGACAAATGTTTAAGCTGTCGGGTATTTTCACCTCACAGAGCAGCCATATACATACAGCGTATTATCAAGCGAAACATACCAACAACTTCTTGCTTCATATCCATTGAGACAGCTCAGTCAAATCTACATTGATGAAGAACTAAAACAAAGCTCTAAAGGAGCAAGATGTGTTTTTAAATATCAAATAATTCATGTATTACTGGAACTTCTGCTTCATTTGGTACTTCATGAATCATACTTGCTCATTTAAATTCATGACAACGTCTATGATAAGGGAATGGCCTCTGTGACTCTGCATAGAAATGCAAGCTCTAGTTTTAAATTGGTAAAAATTCTGATTATATCACTTATTCTTTGCATATACATACGTACATATATATTCGTATCTATAAATATACACGTGTGTGTATATATATGCATACACGCACACA